ACACGTACATACACTCTGCCGTTGTAATGTTATTAGAGCTACACAGCGGATCTCTGTGGTCTCTCTCTCTCTCTCTCTTCTGCTCTCCCGCTCTCTTCTCGGAAATTAAAGCCGGGCTGCCTCGGAGAGTGGGAAAGGTCCCCCTTCTGGCGGCTGGGAGGATGGAAAACAAGCCGGCCTTGAAAAAAAGAAAAAGGGACACCGAGAGAGGAGAAGAGAGATGGAAGAAATTGCATTTGAAGAGGCCAGCGGCGTGGTGGACGGCTCGCTCGCTCGGCCCCCCCCCGCCNCACACACACACACCCGCCAAGTGTACTTGCTGGACGTGCTTTTGATGTGATTGTTGCTTAAGTAGCAGCAACCGAGGCTGCGGGTGTCATTAATTCGCGGCGGATTCAATGGGAAAGGCCGTTTTCTTCCGCAAATTACTTTTCCGCCAAGGAAGGATTGTCCGCGCGTGTTTTTCTTTCGTATAAATATACAGTATATCTATATATATTCCGCTTTGTGTTGATCTGTTTATTTTTATCTTTAAACTGTTGCCATCCGCTGGTCTAACTTGACGGGATTTCCTTGTAAGAAGCAGGAAACGCTCTTGCATTCTACGTAATATATATATATATTCCTAGGGTAATTGTTTGCAAAATTGAGTGTACTGATTGCGTGTTTTCATCTCTTTCCCCCCCTCCCCCATGCTCTGGCTAGGATTAGGGATCTCCTCCTTCTCGTTCTGGTTTGCTCTTTGAGGGAACAAGGGTGTTTATTTATTTACTGACAGATTCAAGAGATCACGCATGGCATACAATACATCAGAAGTTACGAGCAGAGAACATTAAAACTGCTGGGACCTACATTTTCCTTGATAAAACTTCATTGCATTTAAATTAAGCAGCATGATTAAGTATGTGAAACGGGGAGAAAATGTTTAGTTCTGAAAGCTAGGCAACGCCTGCCGCTTATTGATGAGAGGAGATGTTGCATTATCATGATTCCAAGAAAATATTCTCACTGAACGTTTTTACCCTGTTGAGAGCTTCACCGTAAACTGTGGAGAAAGTAGGCTCATATTAAACATGCATGCCCGTTATTCTTCTGCCCTCATAGTCACCAGACTTACCTATTTCAAGACTAGAACAGGTACTGTTAACCTCCCTATTATTGCAACCACGCCAGCCCTACAGATGCCTTTACAACACTGTCGTTTGGAGCGGGAGGGGGCACATTCTCAGTTAAGAATTGTGTGTGGTTATACAGTATACCGCACAGACGGATATGTATTCAGACACAATAAGTGACATTAGCTCTGTCAATCAAAGCAAATAACTTTTTGAACAGCCCTGCCTGTATCTCAAAAAGAAGTTCCAAGAGAACCTATTTTAGTTCAAGGCAGTGACTGTTCAGGTAGCAATGTGGATGTCATGCTTTCACATAATGATTGTGTTTATATACGACAGGAAGCATCTGTAACAGCTAAGGGTGCTCCTAAGCCAAAGCCTCGATAAAATCTAACTTAGTATTCTGCATCAAGCAAAATAAAACCTCTAGGCTAAAACAGAAATCTTCCAACAGAAAAAAAAGTCCAACCAGTGATGAATTTAATTATTGTTATTGTGTTTGATACAATTCCACATAAAACTAACATATTTTGATATGCCTCGATATAAAATATTTAGTGGTAAATTTGTTATTCACTATTACAAATATATTGATTGTTTTCTTTCTATCTCAAAATGTATGTTCCTTTTTGAAAAAAGCGAGTCATTTATTATATCAACTTTTAAAAATGTTGATATCTACTGAGATTTTTACGACAACCAGAAAGAGCAAAGTTCTCACTAACATTTCTAATGTAGTTCACTTCCAAAACATTTTCTTGCTAGGATTTTTTTAAAAAAAATTAATAAATGCATATATGCAATGAAACCGAATATTATTTATTTGAAGACATTAATCTTGCATGACAACTAAGGAGTGCTAGTACTCCTTGACACAGGTAAGTTAAACACAGAAGCACAGGAATGGGTTGACATTCCTTCAGAAACAAAAACTAAATTGAGGGATTGATTTCAAGGTGAACAGATACAGAAAGGAACACAACTTTGAGACTATATGCAGACTAGCAAAGTATTCGTCCCATGGTCCCAAAGCTGAGGAATGGTTTAACACTTTATTAGCAGTTATGCAGTTGACGTATGAGTATGTATGAGAGAAACAGGGAGAGAAACATTAAAGGAAATATATCCTAAGTTCTTACGTATAGCCTACTTTTCTTTGCCAAAATTGCATCAAAAGTTTGAAGACCTGTGCTATAGTAATATGCAAATAGAAGTGAAGATATACGAGTGCACCGATCTGCACTGTATCTTACAAACTGCATACGTCTGAGTTGTGAAAGACTTGAGTATAAACTATAATAATAGGAGACAAACATGTGAAGTGACTTGCTTTCCCCAGTTTTTAAAATGTTCCTCCTCCCTCCAGGAATAAGTTCTCACTTCAGGAATCCAGGCATTCATCAAAATTTAATATGTTTCTTTAAACGTGCAACAAAACTAGAGAAGAAGAACAAAATATAAAGCTCTCTTTAAGCTTCAGGCAATATCTGAACATGACCTGGATAATCTTACACACACATGCACACTCCCCTCCAGTCCTACAAACACAGAAGTAAAAACTCTTGAAATATATTTCACTTCTTATTGATGCATGATTCATACACAGGACTGTCATATGCCACTCACTTTTTTATTTTCTACCTCTAACATCAGATAAAACCTAGGAGACCTGAACTAGCTAAAGAAAATCTCATACGGCGACATCTTAGGTTGAGGGTTGGAGTTTTCTTTAGCAATGTTGTAAGTATTCACATATTTATATCTGACACTACAAATTATGGATTTAGCCAGATTAAACAGAAGTTTAAAAAGCTTATGAAATATGACCTTCAAAGATCTAAGAAATATTCAATACTAGTCCAAGAAAATCCTCAATTTAAAATGTCAGCTGCAAAGCATAAATCCCTTTGAGAGGTTTCAAATCATTGTGACAAAGTTGCAGTCCTGAGGTCCAAGCCACTGGGGGTGGGGAAAGTAACTGGCTCACTCGTCCAGCTACACAGGTTAGTACATCTTGAGCTATTTTTCTCTTTCTTTTAATCTCCTCTCCTATCTTTCAAGAATTTTGCCTGTGTATATTGTGCCACCACAATTCATTAGAATCATGTTGCTATGTCTCCATGGACGGCAGGAGTGCAAAGTTTACTTATCACAAAATTCGCTGAGATTTTCTTCAACACAGTGTGGTTTTAAAACCCCTGAAGTCATGTGAAATAGGAGACCTGACCTCAAGACACTATAAACTTGGCTGGTCTGGTTGTAGGTTGAAAGGTCAGGCTTGCTGGGGTAACTCCTGAGGCTGTTTCAAACTAATAGTTACATTTGATTTGAACAAGGATTTGTTAAAGTGCCCAGGTTTCATGATTTAAACTGTAATACTGGTGTGTCTGGAACTTTATAGAAAAGCTGACAGTCTAAAGGAGGCAGAAGACACACTAAATCAAGAGAGCACAAGAAGAAGGAGGTGCTAGGGAATAGATAAATGTATGGACTGAGGAAATAGGCAATCAATTATTATATTTTGTCATCCTGCTTCATTTTCAGTGCCCTTATTTGTCCCTTCTTCCTTCAGCTACTGTCACTCTGTAATTTGTCTTATAAATCCACAATTCTTTCCTTTTCTAAATCTCCAAAATCCATGATTTCATAAATAGTTAAAAATGTGGTTGTTGCCCATGTTGTAATAACAAATGCCATTGTTAATCATATCAGAAATAACATTAGTGATACACATTTTAATAAAAAACACTGATTATTGCCAAATAATACCATGTCAAATCACCTGAAAAGTAGATTTCATAGCTACTGTTATCAATTATAAATCCACTTTCAAACTTATAAAAACAGGGAAGATGCAAAAGTTTGTATTCCTTATTCTGTTCTTTTTCTGTGTAGTACACAAAAATGTTAAAGGAAAAGTGGTATCCTTATTTTGTTTTGTTCTTCATCCAAGAAAATGAGCAACATACTCAAGTTTTATTCTTCATAGGTGTTGAAAGTCAGGCACTCACAAAAACACAAATAAAAAAAGCAGCTAAAGAAATTAAATTGCAATCAATCAACAAGGACCAGATGGTATTCATTGGAGAGTTCTAAAGGCACTAAAAACCAATGTAACTGAGCTGCTAACAAAAATATGTAATTTATCATTGAAAACTGCTACTCTACCAGAAAACTGGAGATTGGCCAAGGTTGTACCCATCTTTTTAAGAGGTGTTAATGATGATCCTGGGAATTAAACACTGGTGAGTCATATTTTGGTAGCAAAGGTTTTTTGTTTGTTTGTTTTTGAGAGAAAGAATAAAAATCTCAGAAAATATGCAAATCCTATACACTTTCGTTTGGAATATATAATTTTTGTCTAACAACTTAACATAATGGTTCATAAAGTATCCAGCGTAGAAAAGATTCCACTCTAAACTTTTCAAACCCTTTGGAGAAGTTCCATACTTTATACTCACACACACACACACAAAGAAAAGAAAAAGCAAGAGAAATAATTGTGTGCAGTTGAACCTGACACATGTTTATTGAGCAGTATATCCCACTGTGGGCAGTGGATTACTCCCTAGTGCTACATTACAATCCTATACAC